GATCACTGTTTTTAATTGTAGCCACTCCAATGTGTGTATGTGTAGTGGTATCTCATTATGGTTTTAATTTTCCTTTTTAAAAGGTATTTTCAAGTTCCTGTTGGATGTTGATGTTCTTTTGCACAGTGTCTGTTCAAATATCTTCCCCGTTTTTAAGTGGGTTGTTTGTCTTACTGAGTTGTAAGAGTTCTCAGTATAGTATGGACAAAAGTTTTCTCCTGGTATATGTGCCATGAATACATTCTCCTGGGCTGTGGCTGGAATTTTTGTTTTCAAAGCAAAAAGTTGAAGAAATCCAGTTTATTAATTTTTTTCTCTGTGATTCGTGTGTTTTTGTGTTCTAATTAACCTCTCCCCACCCTAAGGTCACAAAGATTTTCAGCTGGGCTTTTTGTTTTGGTATTTTGGGGTTGGGCATTTAAGTCTACGCTGGGTGTTGAGTTGATTTTTCTATTTGATATGAGGTAAGAGTCCGTAATCATTGTTCACAAATGCAGATAGCCTGTCCTGGAAATCCAGCGCCACTTGGTGAAGAATTTTCCTTTCCCATTAAGTTTTCCTTGGTACCTCTGTCAAAAATGTAACTGACTGTATTCATGTGGGGTTAATTCTGCTCTGTTCACCTTTATGTTTATTGTTTCACCGAAGCTTCATTACTGTAGGTTTATAATAATGACTATCCTATTATGTTAAAAATTACTTTGCTTATTCTGTGGCTTTTTAAGTACTATATATATAATTTAGAATTGGCATGTTAGTCTTTCCAAAGAAGCCTACTGTGATGTGAATAGATTGCATTCCCTCGAGAGACAAAATCGTTGAAAACTTGTCATCCGAAACATAACCTTCCAAACAGTGAACATGGTAGTTAGGCCGCAACCTGTATGATTGCAAATCTCAGTTTAGAGAGAAAATTAAAAAAAAAAAAAGTGATGCTTGTCTCTGTGTGAGTCACTTCTGTTAACTTCCTTTCTAGAGTCACCCAGTGTCTTTTGCTTTTTAGTGACCCCCCCAGGCAGTCGGGACATTCTTAGTTCTAGTTTTCAGCTGCCGTCAGTGGGCTGAGTGGGCATGAGAGGGTTTGACCCCTCCAGCAGGACTGCAGCTCCCTGTGGGAGGAATTGTAATTACAGTGGTGAAGGGACAAAGTGCTTTTCAGGTTTTCTGAGTCCATTTTTAGAATTTGTATGTGCAAGGTGTTTGTCTGTTTTCTTTAAATGGTCAGATTTATTCCACAGGTTTATCACCATGTTGTCTTATTTAACCACTAATTTTGTAGAATCTGTAGTAATGTTTCTTCATTGATTACTGATACTGCTCATTTATCTTGACTAATTCTTTTTGGTTTTACAAGCTCTAGCTGGAGGTTTATCAGTTTTATTAGTGGCTTCAAGGAGTCAGCTTTCACTTCATTGATTTTTTTTGTTGGTTTGATTTCTCTTTGATTAATATCTTCTCTTTAACATTTTCTTATTTTTTTTTGCTTTCTCATTGAAACTTAATGTGTTCTACTTTCTTTAGGTTCTTTTTTTTAAATTCTTTTTATTGATTTATAATCATTTTACAATGTTGTGTCAAATTCCAGTGTGGAGCACAATTTTTCAGTTATACATGAACATACATATATTCATTGTCACATTTTTTTTTTCTCTGTGAGACTGGGATTTCAGAATTGTAGAATAGACAAACAAGATTATACTGTGGAGCACAGGGAAATGTATACAAGATCTTACGGTAGCTCACAGAGAAAAAAAAGTTTCTTTAGGTTCTTAAGAGAGCATCACACTGCATTGGTTTTACATCTTTCTCTTTTCTCACATGAGCATGTAAAGCTGTATGTTTCTCCCTAAGATTGTTTTACGTTCATCCCACTAATTTGATTTATTTTTAAGTTTTCAATCAGCACAAAATATTTTCTAGTGTTTTTTTTTTTGTAATTTTTTTGGCCCAGGGCTCACTTACTGGCACTCTTTTTAATTCCCATATAACCGGTCATTTCCAATATGTCTTTATTCTGTTGATTTCCAACTAAATTTGTCTGTTTAGAAAACGCACCATGTATTAACTTTGAGTTGTCCTGAGAAAGGTTCTGAGGCTCAGGAAGAGGCTCGTCCTGAGGAGCGAACGCTCCGTGCGCACTGGGGCCGTGAGCTCGGCCTCGTGCCCGTAGTGGCGGCGGTCGGCCCCGCAGGAGAACCGTGGCTCCGGTTCCCACGTGCGGTGTCGGTCTGTGAGAGCGAGACGCCGGCGCTCCCGGCTGTGACTGTGGGTCAGACGGCTCCGCCTTTACTTCCTAACAAGGCTTTTGAAACGCAGTAATTAAGTGATTAATTAAGCATTTAGGATTGCTGTTTGTTCTGATGACTGGACTCTCCATTGTTATGTGATACACCTCTGTGTTCCTAGTCATAGTCCTTGCGTGGAAGTCTACGTTGTTAGACATTCATGTAAACGCTCCCTCTTTCTTAGATCTCGTGTCAGTTGGAGATACACCCTGTTAACGTTGCTTCTCAGCCACTTGACAGAGTTCTTGACAATGTCTTTTAATGCACAAAGCTTTTTAAATTTTAGTGAAGTCCTATTTATTTTTTTGTTGCCATATCTAAACATTTACTGCCATACCCAAAGTCATGAAGAGTTAGCCCTATGTTTTCTTTTAGGAATTTTTCACTCATATTAAGGTCATAGTTAATATTTGTATATAGTGTGAGTGTCACAGATTTGGAATTAGACGGTGTGTAGCGTTTTCAGATCGACTTCCTTCCCTTAGTAATAAGCGTGGCTTTGTAGTCTGCCTTTCAGCACCGAATTTGGGTCATGTATGTCATTTACTGCTTTCTGCACTGTTCTCTCTTCCCTTTCTGGTTATCAGTTACACGCATTCCACCAATTTATATTGGCCCATGGGTCAAATGCAGCTCCACGCGAACATCGTAGCGCGAGCAGCTCAGTGGCGTTGAGAACCCAGTGCTGTGCAGACACCGCGCTGCCGAGTTCCCAGGTACCTGAATCGTCTCCGGGAGAAGCTCGGTGCCTGTTCAGTGGTTGCTGCCTGCTCTCTCCACCACCAGCCTGCTTTCTGTCCCTGTTCTGACCCCTTCACGTAAGTGAACAGACACCATACGTGTCGCTTCGGGTGTGGCTCGTTTTCACCCAGCGTGATGTTTTCGCGATTCAGCCCCGTCGGAGCACGTGCCCACATGCCGTTCCTTTTATGGTTGAACGATACTGCGTTGTTCGTTTATACCTAACCTGTTCGCCCGCATCCACTGGTGGGCGTTTCGGTTGTTTATACATTTTGGCTGCTGTAAATGCTGCTTCTGTGAACATTTACAGAGTATCCACTTGAGGCAGTGCCGACCTCATAGGTTCAGTAAGAAGTGTTCCTTCTCTTGTGTGTTCGTAAGAGTTTCAGCAGCATTGGTTCAACTCTCCTTTGACTTCCGGGTAGTGTCACCAGCGCAGCCAGCCCGCCCTGAGAGTTTCCTTATTGGGGGTTTTGAATTACCGACTCAGTCCCTTTGCTTGCTACAGGTTCCTCCAGATTTTCTGTTCCTTCATGCCTGTTTTTGAATTAGTTTTCTGTCCTTTCATCACGGCTTCATCTCAACTGTTTATGTTTTCTGTTTAGCAGACGTCGCTGATTTTGTAGCTGCAAACTGGTTCCCCGTTTGTTGCTTGACTATTGTTACTTTTATTTATTTTTTTTTGGTTAAGTTTTTAATTTTAATTTTAGAGATTTAGAAATATTAGTACGTCTTTTGAGAGAAAGTGTACCGTCGTCACACACCTGCGAGAAACATCGTACCAGGAGAGTTTTAACCGTACACGTTCTCACTTTACACACGTCGCCATTACGGCAGCAAATAAGTCTATCTAATTTTGTTTACCCAGTATTTTTTGTTTTGCATCTGGAACATTATTTCCCAAATAAAATGCTTATTGAAACTTCAGGAACTCCTTAGAACCTAGAATGGAAAATACTTCATCTGAGTGACAGTTCAAATATTTCCCAACTTGAAAAAAAATACTTTAGAAGGAATGATGCGAAATTACACAATATGCTACGACCCGGATCCGGTCGGTGGCGTGTATTGTTTATTAAATCGTGGCGCTAGAGGAAGACGGCCCGTAGTCCCCGGGCTCAGGGGTGCCGTTAGCATCCGCGTGAGTCCTGGGCGGCCTGCGTTTGCGGCAGGACAAGGAGGAACAGGGTAGCCGGGGTGGAGGACCGGCGGCATCGCTTGGGCTCCCTGGCCCCACGCCGCGGGGAAGACTGGAGCTAGGAGAGCCGACCTCCTGGCCCAGCATCCCGCGGTTACTCGGGGACGGGGATGTGTGTGACCTTGGCTTCTTTCTCACGATGCACGATATCCTTTTGTTGAGATGATCACGCTGAGGGAAGTTAGGCTGAGGAAGTTTTCCAGAGCCACACATTTCGGCCCGGGGCAGAAGTAGGAACTGAAATCAGAGGACCGTTAGAAGTACCCCGCAGGCCTCCCCACGGGCGAGCGGTCTCGGCACCTCCGAAACGAGGTGGCGACTGGACCAGCTGCCCGTCACGCTTGGTTCTGCACCTTTAATCGCTTCTGCGCCTTACGGGACGGCCCCGCCAGCCTTCCAGCATCACGTCACGTGATTAGGAAACCTGTGAGAGGTCATGGTCTTGCTTTAAGCTGGGTTAGGGTGAAGAGTCACGTTTGACTTACATGAGGTGTTCAGAGGAGCCAAGCTCGTGGACTGGCGGCTGCCAGGAGTCAGGAGACGGGGACCTGCGGGAAGTTTAGCGGGGACAGATTTGCAGTTTTTCCCGGGTGAGAAAGTTCTGGAGATCCGTTGTACAGCGATTCGACTGTATTTAACACCACTGAAGATGGTGAATTTTATGTGTATTTTACCACAATTGAAAAAAAAAAATCTCTGAAAGCGTGTCCTCCGTGCAGAGCTGATCTGCGTGGGCCTGGGACCCCGCTCCTTACTGACTCCTCTTTCCTCCGCAGTGATCTGCAGCCCTGGATCTTACAACCCCCGGGACGGCACGCACTGCCTGCAGTGCAACGGCAGCCTGGTGTTCGGAGCGAAAGCGTGCTTGTAGGCCACTATTCTGAGCTCTTCCGTGATTTGTCACACACAAAAGTGTATTTTTGAAATATTAAAATGTCATAAATTACTATTATGCCAACATTAAATGTATCAGATTTTACCAAAAAACGGTGTGTCCTCGTTTTAATTGAAACACTGTACGTCCAAATGCTTTATGAACCGAAAATCCAATAGTCTTTGTTCACTGCTGCCAGACCTGCATATGACGCCCAACATACTTCCTGGATAACGGATTTAAAAATGGTTTTAAAATGTAATGTATTGAGTTAGCCCAAAAGATTTTTCATGATTTTTCAAAACTAGCCCGTTCCATCATTACTACGTTTTGACTAATCTCAGGCCACCGTTTTCTTCCACAGTCATCTTAATGTGTCCGTTTCATTCCTTTGCTTTAATTTTTGGGGATTTTGTACCTTCCAGTTGACCTTTCTTGGTTCAAAGTCACTTTTTGAAAAGCCTGCAGGTCTAATT